AAATGGAATTCTTTGGAATTCCCAAAGTGGGAGAATGAAGAATACAAGAGGAAGAGAGAACTTGTTTTTGGGATGATTTCTAATGGAAATACTTATGCATATTTATAGTTGAGTTTCAAGAACAATATGTTCAAAGTTTGGCCACCTACCAAAGAATTTTCCAATGTGTACAAGTTAGCCACCAAATATGAAATTCACATGTTCAAAGTTTGGCCACCAACCAAGATGAAATTTCCAATAAGTTGGCCACCAACCAAGATGAAATTTCCAACTTGTCAACTTAATTTCAAGACAAATCTAACAGACAATTCCAAATTAATCAATTCATCAGAACAAACAGACAAGAACAAAACCTCAAACCTGAACCCGAAGCTCCGACTCCTCCTCCACGTCCGACTTATCCATCTCCTCGTCATCACTCATAAGACCCGTCTCCACTAAGCAAGCTCTAATTTGAGCCCGCGACACAAGATCCTTCAACTTTCCTAGCTGCTTCAACTACTTGGAAAAGCCCTCCAACCAAACATTACTTGTACTCGAAGAGCCACCATCCCCTACACTTATTTTAGCCTGGTTACCGGACACCCTGCTAGGCTGATTGCCAATCTTAACGTTTGATCTAACTCTCACCCCAAGCCGATAGTGATTATCCTTGTCACCCTCCACAATCGACACAACCGTGTGAGTCACTGGAATATGGTCCATTATACGAACTACTACCTTCGTGTTCTTCCCCTCCTGAGTTGGAATTACCTTCACACTAACATTTTTCTTGTGAGCTGTAGACTTCTTCTTCCCCGGATTGGATGCCATGTAGGAAGCCTTTGGAACAAATTCTTTCTGACCCTTGTTCTTACTGGTGGAGGCCATAGCCTATTTACCGTTGTTAATTCCCGAAACCATTGCTGGCCCAGACTCTTGTTCTTCCACACATAGAGAATCCGATAACAGGACAAAAGATGATTTGCCAGACCCACCAGTTCCTTAAACCACCTTCGCACTCTCATTCACCTCAACCCGCGGTTTACGTTTTTTTCCTTTCCATAACCATCCAAGGGCCATATAAATTCTCATTAGATGACTCGAGAGAAGGACCCTTCCTAACCACTTCCTGATTAACCATCGCAATAGGCGCAGGCTCTACCTCATCCGAAACACCACACTTATCGCTTGAGTGGCCATACGTACCACACTTGAAACAAATATAATTCAACCCTGATGAGTGATTGCAATTGACACTTTTTACTTGTCAATTCTCGTGCTTTATGAACTTTTCACTAATGATTTGGTTGCATTTGGCTTATTTTCTGTGCAGAGAACATGTTTATTAGAATTGGAAACAAAAGGGCGCGTTCTATAATTTTTTATTGTTTTCTAATCATAACCGAAGGCATGAGCACGACACTAGACATGACGCGATCTGACGTGACAACTTCCAGAAAATCCAATATGCAACAACTGTTTCTAGAACCAGTTTAGTCAGCATTATCTAGAAAAAGGTGGACGAAGTATTTAGGAATTTAAATTTAAAAACACTTGGGACTATATTTTTATGATCATCTTCATTTTAATTTCCATGTTTTTTAGGATTTAGAAGCTTATAAATACCCTCTTAGGGTATAGCTTGGATATCTCTTATCATGAATTTTATCTTGTAATTTTCATTCTCCGTTTTATAAAGTTTCTTTTATCTTTATTAGCCGAGAGATAGCGATGACTCAATTCCATATATGAGAATTAAAAAACACTAAAATACTTTTGGGTTTCATTCTCGATTTTTTGGAATCAAAGATCGACAATCGACCATCTTTTTAAAATTAAAACGCTTTCAATTCAAAAAGTCGACGTTGGTCTGGATGTTGTTTTAATTTATAGTTAGGAGGAATGCTCGGCTTGTGGCATATTTGACTTCCTGTTAACATACTTAGCGGTGGTCCGTGAAAGGAAATCGAGATTGGGTTCAATTCTTGACGAGACAATATAATTCGAATCATGCCTTTCCAGTACTTAATTCTGATTGTTTTAATGTCAATATTTGTGATTAATCCACTCAAGAATCATATTTCAAAGATAGACTTGGGAAGATCAATTACTATAGAGAAAGGCAAGTTACAAAGGGTTGTGCCTTAGGTTGTAACCAACATGAACCCTGGAGCAAAAATTCATTTCGATGATCAAACGAAATTTAATCAAACTAGATTGAGGAGATTTTCTCATTATTATCTTTTAATTTTTATTTATTGTTTTCATTTATTTTACTTCAGTTTTTATTTTTATACTTTCATTTATTTACTTTGATATCTCATTCGGAAAACCCCCTTTTCTAATTTATTTTTCTTATAGTTGCCTGGAATGAAATCAACACTAAATCGCATCAGGAATTTCTAAGTCCCTATATATCGATCCTCTTTCACTATACTATATTTATTTTTTATTTCTTTTATTTGATAAAAGATTTTATTTTATTTTGACGAGTAAGACTAAGCTTGTCAAACCCCTCGTATTCAAGCTTCTGAATGAAATTATCAATACCAATGCATGATTTCAAAGGTTTATTCAAATTGGTGACTAACGCTAACCTGGTAAACTTACTGCGACCTCCCGCCTGAGTGTTATAATCGACCTTAACCACCCTCCCAATTACGTCCACAGTTCGTCTTAATAAAACCTTTGAATAATAGTGGTGAGGTAAACCCGGAAGCCTCACCCAAACAAGAATTTTAGACGGATACTTCTCGGATGTCGAGAACGAGCAGCTCCATGACTGAACCGTCAGGTAACTTCCATAAATTGTCCAAAGTCCTTAAGTTAGGGCCTTGATGTAGTCTTCCTCTAATGCAAACTTGGCCAAGTAATAATTATTTTCCATAGCCACGAGTTGCAGGTCCCCTTTCGGATTCTATAGCATGAGTACCCTCGACAACAAAGTTTTGTAACCAGTTGATCTATCCAGAAGACGAACAATCAAAACCCACTTCATACTCTGACCAATCTGGTCATGGACGCGATCAGAAAAACAGATCCTCGTGATCGGCCCCGAGTTATCAACTATACAATCCTCATCAGGAACCTCAACAGAATAAGTTTCACGTAGAACCGAAGGAAAAACACCTTCCGGTGATTCCCCAGTAACCATTTGTGCTTACGAAGGTTTAAACTCCCCCCGCCGACAACAGGAAGAGCGGGATTCATCTGTGGCACCCCTTCCGAAACAGGCACCTCATCGCCCTCAGCATCCATATCAGTGACATCCAAATTATTCGTGGAACCATCGCCAACTCCTTTGTTTCTTTGCTTCTTCAAACTTCGACCATCCTCTAGCGGTTGCCCGGCCTCTCTAACGCTGGCACGTTGGGAATCCGATTCACATTCTCCGGTGGTCGTCCATTATGACCCACAATATGCCCTAGAGACTGGCCCCCGTTAGGGTTCGCATGTGGAAAATTAAGGTTTGCGTTCTCTATATTTTCTATTAATGCTGTTTACCATTCACATTCTATCACACAATTAAAATATTATTATAAATAATTTAGTTTAAAAAAAATCAAAATATTATTATAAATAAGTTATTTTGTTGTTAAAATCAAAGATGGATCGAAGGGTATGTTGGACAGTGGTCTACTAAAATTTTCAAATTCTTATATATTTCAAATTTTTCGGTATATTTTCTATTGATAATTTGTTTTTCATCCTCCTAAAATTTCATAAGTTCGTTTCACTCTAAAATTTTATAAGTTATCCCCATAATAAAATTTTGCGTCTACCTATGTTAAAATTGAAAGAGTGTCTAATATGAGACACATATAATAATACTTTTAGTATGAAAGACATACATTCTATTAATCTTATCATAATTTTAAATAATTTAATAAATTTAACTTTTTAATATTTAAAATTTTGATTATTTTAATCTCTTTTTTGGATATTATCAAATTAACTCATCATATCAAAGTAATAGTTGGATAACTATATTCTATCATAAAATAATAACAATCTATTATTAAACTATTATTAGACCAAAAAAGTAACAAGGAAATAATATAATATTTATGAGGAAGAACAAAAACTAAAATGATAAAAAAAATTAAATATAAAATATTAAATTTATTGATTTATTTTGAATTAACATCAAATTAACAGATTGTATACATTATAAAAACTAAAGTTGTTATTACATCATGCCATATCACTATTTTTACTGTGTAATGATTAATGGTATATTTGTAATTCTATTTTAGTTAAATGATATAATTCCAATTCTTTAAAAATAATATTAAACATATAATTCTATAATGTATTATACTGATATTTATAGTAAGCATGAGAGACAAATAAATAAATGAATAAAGAATACATATTGTGCATGGTAAAGAGAATCACTACCTAAATTAAATAAAAATGTTAGGTAATGATAAAGTGTATGTCCTCTTGTTTTCAAAAATAAATTATATACTCCATTTGTGCGGGATTTTAATATAAAATTTAGAGTTTAATTTTAATAAATAAATATTTTGTCATTCCATTACAAATTCTGTTAACATGAAGTTTTATTTAAATTTATTTTTAAAAAAAATTAGAATGGATACCACCCACCTAAACATACTACTAACGTAACAATTTATTAATTAAATAAAAAATTCTTTATTAAATAAATATTAAAAATTCTAATGATCAACAATTAATCTTCTATTAAAATTTATTAATTCTAATAAAAATATAAATAAATTTTTATTACAGATTCAAATTCATCACGAACAGCAAGAATCAACTGCGGGCAACCACAAATCACAGCCAGAATGGCAATAACCGTTTTGGTTATCAGTCGAACAAATCGGATGTCTCGAAGAGAGACTTTATATTAATGTAGCTGTGTTCTTTGTTTTGGTTACCATCTTGTAATGAGCTTAGTTAGAAAATCATGTTCAGTAATAACATCCGAAAGCTTAAAACATCGATACTTTCATAATCGACGAGTTAGAACATCAAAGGGGGGTACGTAACAAACATGGAGAGAATCAAAATTATAAAACCGAGATCGTTATTGTAGCAGAAACATACTCCCAAACGGTTTTAATAGTACAACAGTAACAATAACATAGCTAAAAGATAATATTACCAAAACAGGAGAAGAAAAAAGCAAAACAGTAGCGGTAAAATAAGGGATATCTGACCTGAGGCACACAACTCTCGTAAGCCAAATAAAAACTCCCAAGGAAATGCTACGATTAGGTTGTAAGCTCCATAATAGCAGAAACAATGTCACCATCAGCAGCCTTGAGAGCCTTGACAGCCTTTGACCTGGACACTCCTGCTTGTGTCATAACCAATTCAATGTCCTTGGGCTCAACACCTGTCTCATCCACTTCTTCATCATCCTGGACATTAGATGATGTCTCGGGTTTCGATATCACATTGCTTAGGTCTGGAGCCTTGAATTGCTCGGCAGCTTGAGTCTGTAGCTGTGAGCTTAAGTCCTCAATCTTAGCCTCTCCAAATATTACGTATGTATCTGATGCTGGGCTCTTGAACACATCTGGCTTTGAGATGACGAATAAGATCTGAAATCAACAAGGACAATTAGATATCATTATATATATAAATATATATCCAGCTGTGACTGGGGTCTCTTTTGAATCAAATAAATCAGTGGAAAGAATGGAAATAAGAGAGCATGACCCTAATGTCATACTAAGATCGCCATTTAAAAACAAAATTGAAAAGGGGAATCACATTCTTGCTCTTCTTGACAGTGACACGACTAACACCAGGAATTGGTTTCATCCCAAGCTTCAACATAGCTTTGCGACTCTTCTTCTCACTTCTGCTTTGCTTTGACCTACCAGCTCCATCTCCATCATGATGCCCTGGAACATGATGCAATATAAAAAATTAATACCTTCAAGGATAACTCATTGTCATGTTATTACCCTGAAATGTAAAATTCTAAACACAGTGGATCCATAGGTTTTCAAGGCACGGATCAAAAAGTAAAATTCCATGTAATTTTTTGCCTTTTCCCCCCCTTAATTTAGTCTCAAATAGCAAAACCAATGCAATATCAAACATTCAAACCTTTCAATATTCGAGTATTCAACAACTTAAAACCTTAATGATTCATGAAACGGAACATGTTGGCTGTACACAAACATTTATACATACAAATATCCTTCTCAATATTCAAGCATACATTAGGCTTATGAGCTACTTGAATCAAGGATTAAAATACTCAAGCTCAAACTCGGCAGTATAAAACAATTTTTATTTATATTGTCAAACCTGAGTAAGCTTGGAAACCAAGTGTGGTAATATCGAACACGCAGGTTGGTTTGCTCTCAGGGCTACCAAGTCCAACATTCTATCAACAATGTAGGAGCAAAATTGAGTCGATCCAATTCAAAAGACCCTAAAGTTTACATTTGAAGACCAAACATATAAAGGCTCAAGGAACTCCAATCGATAATAAATATTCATATTCAGCTAGATTGACTAGTTTAACGATTTCAGCACGAGTTAGTTGGTGAGTCAAGTTGGAGCACATCTCAAAATCAAACTCTAAATCAAATGAATCTTAAAATAAGATTGAAGCATATTTCCTAACATAAACCAAATATCAACTAAAAATTCACGAAGTATAATACTAGCATTGTTCAAATTATTTTAACCCAAATTTGTTTTAAAAAATGATTAAGTTACAGAAAACGGATATTCACCCTCGGCATCATCTTGGTCGTCGTCTTCATCATCAGCTTCCTCGTCGTCATCTTCAACAGTAGGTTGCTCAGGCTGTAAATCAAAAGAGGAAATTAATAGTAAAAATCAAGAGAGAATAATGAATCTTAATTTCAGGAACATACATCGATTTTTTGCTGGTCGAGATGAGCGGCGAGGATCTCTTCGATCTCTTTGTCGGTCTGAGCAGTCATTTTTTATTGAGAGAAAGAAGCAAAAAACAAGAGCAAAATACAAAAGCAAAACCCTAAAACCCCAAAAAATGAATCGGCGATGCCTCGTAATTAAGCTTTTTGCGCTGCCATTGGGCCGCCTCCAAATCACCTATAAGCCCAAAATATGCCAATTTTAGGATATATTACCCTCAAGGTCAGTTAACTATTGTCTATATTCTATTTTGATTACTAAACTATACTTTCAATTTGCTTTCAATCAGATCATCTACCATTGACAGTTAACAAAGTTATTTATTTGATAGTTAAAAAAAATTATGTCGAGAACCAGAAGTGCGATACTCTCACGAGGGACTGTCAGAATCTACTGGCAGAAGGATGCGTCAGCGAAGTCAGACACGTTGCGAGAAGGAAATAGATGTGCTGACTGGTTAGCTAACATGGCTTTTGCACAAAAGGAAGAGTTAATCAATCTGCCGATACCTCCTCGTGAGCTAGAGCACTTACTGGAAGCTGAAGCTAATGGAGTTACAGTACTAAGGTTCTAAGTACCTAGGGTGTGTGGGAATTATTCTTTTGTACTATATATATATATATATATATATATATATATATATATATTAGTAACATATTTGATTTTCAGTATTTATATATTTTATTAATTTAATTTAATTTTAATTAAAAATAATTTAATAAATGTAATCATTCAATTCAATTAGGTAATTATCTTTTATAGTTATACTTTATCATACATCTATAAGCATAAAAGAATGTATCAAATATATTATTGATTATTAGATTTTACATACATTTGAATAGGGGTGAGTATTCGATCGAGTCAAGTCAAAAAATTTTGAGTTATTTGTGCTGACGAGTCATATTTTACAACTCGAACTTAACTTGAAATTTTCTCAAGTCGAGTTGAGTTTAAGAAATTCGAGTTATTTGAGTTTCTATACTAATTTTATTATAATTATTATTATAGTATTATGTCAATGATTTGTTTCAATCTTTCGACTTTTTCTAACTAACTAACTATATATATATATATATTATTTTCACATTATAATATTATTTAATATATAAATACAATCTAAAATTATAAAATATATTCATAATATTATATTTCAAAGAAAGTATTTTGAGGGTAAAATATTGATGAGAGCATAAAGGAATTGTAGTCAAAAGACATAATTGAGTAAAATGCAAAGTTAAGGGACTAAATAAAAGAGAGAGAGTACAATTTTAGTAAAAAAGTAGAAAATGAACTTACATATGTATTCTATTGTGGTATATGAGCATATGGTTCAAATTTGGTAAAAAATTAGACTTAAAATAAAGGATGAATTGAATAAATAAGAAAATTATAAAAATTTGAGGGACTAAATTGAAAAATAAAAAAATTATTATCAGAAAGAGGAATTGAAGTTACATAGGAATTCTATTTTGGTATACGAGTATGCGGTTCAAATTTGATAAAAATTGACTTAAAATAAAGGATGGATTGAAGAAATAAGGAAATTATGAAAAATTAAGGGACTAAATTGAAAAATAAAAAAATATTATCGAAAAGAGGAATTGAAAGTACATATGTATTCTACTATGATTTATAAACATGTGGTTAAAATTTGGTAAAAAATAGACTTAAAATGAAGGAGGAATTGAATGAATAATGAAATCAGGAACTATATAGTAAAACTATCAAAATACTTATTCAAATTTTGGGTTTTTTCAAGTAACTCGAAATTCCAAAATTTTAACTCGTCTCGAACTCAAAAACCGAATTTATAATTCGAGTTGACTCAAATAACTCAAAAATAAATTTTTTTTCTTCGATTTTTCGAGTCGAATTTTACTCACCCTTACGTTTGGATATCATTTTCATACTTTCTCTTATTAAGTAATTGTGATTAAGACCCACAAAAATTTGGATGTATTTTTAAATTTATAGATTCGTGATTAGATTCAACTGATATTATTTTTGTTTAAAAAATTTAGTAACTCTATTTTGATTTTTTCTATACGCTCGTACACATTGATAGATCAAAAGAAAAAAAATCATTCCCTAAAAATTTTAAATTCTATAGATATTTTTTTTATATTTTATTAATAATATATTTTCAAATTATTAAATTTCTATAAATTTACCGTTTAAAATTTTTAAGTTGATTATGTTTGGCCTTATTCGTACAACTTCTTTAGTATGAAAATAATAAAAAGGTAGAGTTACACGTGGAAATGTTGAAGTTAATTACCACCTACGGAATGTGTTACACATGGGTGGCTATGACCAAGTGATAAAAAAATCAGTTGGTCGGTGTGTAACTTCTTAACATGCACTTCACATGGTTTTGTTATATAGATAAGGTCAGACCGTATGTGGGTATCTATGCAACTTTTGAAGCACAAGACAAACCAAAAACAGAAAAACAAACCTTGTAATCATGGCTGCCATCAACCCAGCAGTAGCAGCACAACTCTCCGTCGGCGTCCTCAATAATCCGGCGACCAAAAGCCGCCAAACTATAGAGGCCGCCGCCACCAATCCGGCCGTGAAAAATGGTGCAACTTCGATTCTTTCTTTACCTGCTCAGTCTCCATTGCTTCATACAAGCTCGGTTCCGAGATGTTTGGGCACAAGGATCATGGCTGCGAATCCTGAAGTTTTACCGTCGGAAAATTTAACGGGCATTCTGTTCTTCACGGAGTGCCAGTTCGGGAACTTTTCCGTCCAGAATTTAAAGCTGGAAAACTTCGTGAATTGGCATGGATTTGGAGATTTACCGGAAACTATATCTCAAAATCAGCCGACGGTCCCGTTTAGACACACCGGTGACTCACATGGTTCGGTCGGAGCTGTTTCGTATGTTGTGGGAGAGAAGATCAGGTGGATTATTGCCTGGAGCAACTCCGCAGACGATTCGCTCAAGCTGAACAAGGTATCCTATAAATTTCGTTATTTTGAGAATCTGACATTTTTTTTCTTCTATTGGTATAATAATAAATTTAGTACTCTATATTTATATTATTTTTATTAATTTGGTCCTCATTCTTTTTTAAAAAAACAAGCTGTTGTTTTTAATAAAAATATTGATTAAAAAATTAAAATTTTAACATTTACTAACATGACTATTTTTATAATAATTAACATGCACTTCGTAGTATATTTATGAACTTTTAAATATATTTTTATAGTTTAAACTTATTTATTAATATAATATATAAACTAAAGGGTAAACTATATATTTAGTCACCCAACTATCACTTTGATTTCATTTTGGTCACTCAATTTTTTTTCAAAATCATAACCGATGTTACGTTTTGACCCGTTGTTAAAAATAAACAGACCGTTGATATGATAATTTTCAATATTTTTTTTAATGATGATATGGCAACAACGATGGATCAATGGGGAGTGAGAGAAATCATCCTCTCTGAAAATTTTAAATTAACATATATTTTAGATATTTTCTTTTTATTCTCAACTGATAATCTTTCACCCATAAAATTTTATAAGTTTGATCCCTACTCAAATTTTAGAAGTTCGTTTCCCGAACTTAAAATTATACGTCCGTCCCTAACATCATCTTTAATAGTATATATTTATCATTACCTGTTAAGTTTCTCATTAAATTTGTTTATGGATCAACTCGAATTGTTATAAAGGTGACTCGTATTATTATTAAAAGTGTTATTATTCCATTATATATCTAATGTTATTGCATGAATTGCAGGTGTACAGTGAAATTAATGAAGTGGATGAAAGAGAAGTTGATTGGGGTTCAATAAGAAAAGCATTGGACCAAAGTGTGTCGAAGTACAATGCTAGAGATGATGAAAATGGCTACTCCGCTGATCTTTGGATTGATCCAACCACCAATACACCATCAATGATCGCAACACTCAACTCCAACAATTAATGTCGATTACAAAAATTTAAGATTTGGTATTTACATAGATGATTAATGTCCATGATTGTTGTTGGATAGATTTGTTTACGAATCAAATAATTTGTTCTAGTTAATAAATTGATTCAAATAAATTTGACTTAAGATGCGATGTTATTTATGTATTATGCATGTCTAGATTTTATTTTGATTTGTGTCTTTTACAATTATTAATATTATAATAATCCATAAACATATACAATAATCAAAAATTATAATTACGATCGAATAGAAATATATTTATATCTTAAATAAATTAATTTATAATAGGACATGTCTACATTGATTTTTTTTTAATTTAGGGTACTTATAAGTGGTAGTGTCTATTCTAAAGAGACTCTCAATCAATAGACAATAAATGTTTAAATACCTTGTAGTCTTCGATACTCGAACCTGGAACCTCTATGAATAACAATTATTCTTTTAACCAAGAAGGTATCTTGGTTTGTGCCCTATCTATGATGAACTTAAATTAGAATGAAATTGACACATGATTTATACATGGTTTAAGATGTGATTTCAATATAGATTAATAATGTGACAATTGTTTTTGTTTATACAGAATGAAATAAAAGTTATAAAAGAAATTTTTCCAAGAGGACACCATAGAGTGATCAAATTATATTTTTATGAAATATTATGATCCACTTATAATTTTAGTCATAATACAACGATCTGCTCTGCAGTTTACCAAAAAATTCCTTTGGCACGGTTTCTTCGAGGAGTAAGCTAAGGGAACTTATTCTAGTAACGTTAGACTTTTATCTGTCAATTTCGTAGCCAAAAAGATGAACAAATTTGTGAAATCATCAAATTTACTTGGCTTTGTGATTTGGGATTTCCTTGTTTCATAATTGTGATTGTGAATCAATGTTGGGTTTAGGCATATCAATCTTAATAGCTATAAGAGCAACGCCATGGCTATCGTTATATCTGATCTTCAGTAGATTTGGGTCACAGTGTTGTCGATACCTTTTTTGGATGCAGATCAAACACCTAGAGTGTGTGTTGTAAATAGGATAAGAAATTTTTTTAACATATGTTATCTTCTAATCATTTCATACTATTCAAATAATATATTTAGAAAAATATAAGCAAGAGATATAACAATATATTTCTTGGTTTATGTTATATTGGCTTTTCATCAAACAAATTGATGGTCGTGGTACCATTGACATAAGATGTTTTTTTTATATAACCACCGGTATTAAATTTATTGTTCGACCAATCCGGATTAACTGCTATAGAGGTGAGGGCGACCCTCCCGACATATTTTGTTATATTCGCAAACATCAGGATTTAAGTCCCTAGTCTTACTTAAATGATCTAGTATCTCATCTCATTAGACCAATTATTATTGATAAGCAAAATATTTGGACATAGATATAGACATAATATTCGACACGTCCACATGTTTTCTTGGTCATAGTTAACATTACTATTTTGTTATAAATATATATTGATAAATCAGAAGTGTTTGAATTCAAGATCTTAAGGAATAATAATATATTTTTAACTAATGAATTCATCTAGTTGGTGTCATTTAATTATATTTGAAGTATCTAATACGTAATATAGTTTGGTCTATACATAACATTCATACATTATTAATTAGGAAACAAACAATATTAATTATTGACTTCGTCTTGTACCTAACACAAAAAGTCTCCTATTTTATATTTTCTCCTGAATATTTTATGTTTTAACATTTGGAGACATTTTTAATATTCACTAGAAAAATTGATGCCACCATTTAGTGGAATAAAAATTTATATTGTTCACACGATTTAATCGCATAGGAAATCTTCAAACTATGACGATATTTTTTTATTAATCTGGGCTGAGTACAAGGCAGTATATGTTCAAATATAATTTTCAACCTTTTGACGTTGAACGCTTACAAGTTTAGCATCTATGATGCTCAAACCCGGTTCCTTAAGGAATATCAACATTTCTTTTACTTCGAATGCCACTTGATTCGTACCCCTATTTTAAATTAGTTTTTAAGTTTAAAAATATTTTTTTTATCATCCCTTAAATTGAGATTCCATTTTAAATAGGCCCCTAAATTTTAAAACATTTTACATCTCCTCAAACTATCAATATAATTTTATTTTGTTTTTTACATTAACCCATCATTAATTTTACTGGTTAAAACATTTAATTTGTTTTCGAAGGTCCTAAGAATTGAACTTATAACTTAATAAATTCCCAAAACCTTGAAAAACTATCATTATCTAACCATTAAAGTTAAGGATACATTAACAAAAGGATTTAAATAGAATGATATTAATAATTTGAAGACTGTTGTAGGATGTTTTAGAGTTTAGGGACTAATTTAGATTGAAGTCATAATCAAAGAACTGGTATAAATTATTTTAAAATTTTAAAATCAATTTAAAATAAAAATGATAGTTTGGAAACCACGGGTACAACTATCTGTTGTTCACACTTTGATAATTTATGCATTCATTAACTCAATAATTACTCTTTAATTTATGAGTTTGTGAACGCCATTGCACATGCGAGCTTTAACATAAAGTGGTATATACTAACAAAGTTGTTGGCTTTTGGCATCCCTCAAATAGAAGAAATTAATAAGATCTAATGCGGCGAAGGTTACCGAGAGAGCTGTTCCTGTTGGTTGCACCTACAACAAGACCCGGTTCAGTTTGCATGGGTGCATAAATGACGTGAGAAAATGAACTATTTGATTGTCAACCGTCTTGGCTTTCTTAAAGAAAATGTTAAGGTCCTGACTGATCCACCGATACCGGGGACGACGACGGCTATCCCGACGGGCGAAAACATTAGGGATGCACTTTCTGAGATGGTGGAAACTGCAGGACAGCAGGAGCAGGAGATGTGCTGTTGTTCTATTTCAGTGGACATGGAACTGCGATTCCGGTATATGTACTAGCTCAACCTTATAGGGAAGAGAAAGCAATCGTGTCTTGTGATTTGGATCTCATCACCGGTAATACTAGGGATGGGCATGGGTTGGATTTGGGTCGGGTTTTGGCCAACCCGACCCGTCCCGAAAATTTGACATCCGACACCCGACCCAACCTGACCCAAAAAATATATGCCCTCCACCCGACCCGAACCCAAACCGATTTTTTGAGATAAAATCCGAACCCGATCCGACCTGACCCGAAATAATAATAAAAATATTATTTTTATTCATTAAAAACAATGATTTAATTGAAAAAAATAATATATAGAGGAGTATTATTGTAATTATTCCTAAACATATAAGGTAAAATTATATTTTTTTCCGTGTTGGATCAGATATTTTCACCATAAACTAGAATCCGACCCGAATATCACCTTTAAAAAACCCGACCCAACCCGACCCTAATTTTTTTTAAAAAAAAACCCAACCGATTAGGTTGGATCGGATCAGAACCTGTCGAATACGAGTCTCATCCCTAGGTAATACCTTCTTCTTATTTCCCTCTATCCATGTTATTTGCTTGATCCATATGATTAAGTCATAATATAAAAAAAAAAGGTTTCCGACTTTGATTAAATAATTATTTTACTTTTTATTTTGTTTTTAATGCTTCCTTTTAAGAGAAAAATAATTACTTTAGCACCTATTATTTTTTGAAGTATTGAGATAATGTTAAAAAAATGGCCATAACGTTTAGTCCTTATTCTTTTGGAATATTTTGGCCCCAAAAATTAGTTTTAGAACAAAAAGTTCTCCATTGATGGAAACTTTAGTTAATAAATGGTTAACGCATTAAAATGGGGCCTTTATGCCATAAAATGAAACATTGGGGCAAAATGCTCTAAAAGAAAAAAAAAAAAGAGAAAAATGCTCTAAAAGAAAAGAATAAGAGACAAAATGCTCTAAAAGAAAAGAATAAGAGACAAAATGCTCTAAAAGACAAAATAAGAGTCAAAACGACTATTTAATCAAACGTTAGGAGCATTTTTATCCTAAAAATGAAACATTAGGGAAAAAATGCTTTAGACAAAAGAAAAAAAGTCACATTAACTATTTAGTCAAATGTTAAGTATATTCTTAATACCCTACCTCTCCCTTATCCCATTATATATGGGAATAGGGTCAGCTAATTTTTAAGTATATTCCTAACATTTTTTTGGTGTTAAGCTTGGAGCATTTGGCTCCCAACATTTTATTTCATGGTAAAAAAAACTCATATTTTGGAACGTTAATTAGTTGTTGAATAATGATTTTTATTCATGGATGGATCTTTTTGTACTAAACTAAAATATTGGGGTCAAAATCTATAAAAAAAAAAGGTCAAAGTGATTATTTAATCAAATGTAACGAATAATTTTGATATTATTCCAATAATTAATTAAACATGTGTGTATACAGGCATGAAGTCAAGGGAACTAGTTGATCAACTACCGGGAGGTGCAACCTTGACAATAGTTGCCGATTCCAGCTATAGTGGAGGTATCGCCGTCGGAGAGAAAGAACAAATCGGAAGCAACATGTTGATACCATATCTTACATCGTATACGAGATTGATCAAGAAGAGCATTGATTTAAACATCATTTGTCGGATCAGAAGTATAGCATCATGCCAGACTGATGACCCTGTAATAGAGTCGAGCTAAAGTAGTTCGCCAGACGATGGAATCTTACTAAGTGGGTGTGATGCGAACGAGACATCATTCGATGTGGTCCTCTGAGGAGGAGAAGCGTATGGGGCATTCACCAACGCTGTGCTAAAAGTGCTCACAAGGAACCGCCGGGGTTCTCCTCTAAATGCAGCACTTGTGCACGGAGCTCAAAAGAGATTAAAGGAGGATGGCTCGTCGGATCAGAAGTATAGCATCATGCCAGACTGATGACCCTGCAATAGAGTCGAGCTGAAGTAGTTCGCCAGACGATGGAATCTTACTAAGTGGGTGTGATGCGAACGAGACATCATTCGATGTGGTCCTCTGAGGAGGAGAAGCATATGGGGCATTCACCAACGCTATGCTAAAAGTGCTCACAAGGAACCGCCGGGGTTCTCCTCTAAATGCAACACTTGTGCA